CATGGTGTGGTGGTGAACGCGTTACTCTCCGGAAAGGACAATAGCGCGTCCGTTCCCCACCGCAGACACCTGCAGTCCGGAGTTTTGCAAATATCTCAGCATTATAGAAGTTATATTTCGCAACATACCCTGCCGTTAAAAAGAATAGGCAGCAAATTGAAAAAAAAGGTTAAGTAAAAATAGAGTAACCTCGTAAGAAACCCGTGTTAACTTTCTTGAATGATTGCGGAAGGACAAATTGTAGTGCCAGATCAAATCACTCGATGAAAACGGGATAGGCAGATTGTTATATAGTTATAAATTTTTCATATTAGTAAAGACTTCAACTTTTATGGAAGACCGGGAAAAAGCACGCATCAGTGGTAGTTGAGTCCGTCAGTTATTAAGCAGTCCGTAATTACTGTGTAAACTAATGATTTGAAACTACTGGGGGCAATTTTTTGTCGTTGTACAAGATAGGTTTACAGTATTCGTTTTTGCGTATTGTCGTAGAAATAAATTTTGAAGCATTTGGATTACTTTATAGCAAGTCAACACAAAATCTTTAAGACTAGTGAATAATGCGTAACGTTGACACTTCGTAACGATTGATGTGCAGCGTTTTGACTCCATAGAGTGGCTTATAGGTGTGGCAAGTATTCTTCTAAGCAAGGCCCACTTAGATGTTAATCGCTTGAACACCTTGGTTGATAACAAATTTGTCTAAGAGGCTTCACACCTATCGCTTGAGCAGCTGCAACGTTCCATCATACAGACGCAAACTACCCGGACAATGCACAATAGCCTCATTTCATTTGCAAATCACTTCATTGTTAAGAAGCTGGTTTGCAAAAGTTTCTTATCCATCGGTTGAGTATCAACGAAATTCTATCCCATAGGTGTAAACCGCTTATATAACGTCCGAATTGTCATTACATCCACAGATGAATTGTTGGTAACGAAGTCGTCCATCCACAAAAGTTACCCGTTGAGCAGCTAATAAGTTTTTTTGCAGAGATCAAAACCGTCTGGAAAATATTCAAAGTCTCAAATAATTAACAGAGGAGCCAGAATTCCATAACAGCTGCTGACAAAGGCGGTGGCCCGCTTCGTATTCGTATTCATCGTACCTTCCAGAATGCAATGGATAGATGGGTGGATGGATGGATGGAGGGAAGGACGGACGGAATAAACGTATCTTGTTTCGTCCCTTCTCCTTCCGTTCCCTTCTGTCTATCCGATCGGACAAAACTCTCCACTCTTGGCGTGCGCTTTGTGGACGTGATTATTGCGCATTGAAACCCATTATTTTATTACGGCACCATATAGGAGAGAGGAAGAGATGAATAGAAGATACGAACAGAAGAGTGCCTGCTGCGTGACGTCAAAACAAAAACAGTGCTTTAACAGTAACCGAGAGCCCATCATTCCATTCGTAGAGATGCTATGTTATGCTATGCTATGTTTGCTATGTTTAAAATCAATGACGGTTTTTTCAAAAGGAGCCTTCGAGAAGAGTAAGATTGAGCATTTAAACGGAAATTATTAGCACTATTAAAGTGAGCAAGTGCTCATGAAGGAGGGAGAAGAAGAAATATATTTGTGGAGGATCTAGCGGTATCTATTTGATTTTTTTTCTGGGACATTATATTTCTGAGAAAAAGAAAAGAAAAGCGAAGTTCAAAAACATCAAGTGAAGAAAAAAGAAAGCATTTTTCATTTTTAATTTCCTGGCTTCACTTCGTTTTCTAATCGATTACGATAGACCACGTTCAAATCGTATTTATTCCGGTTTTTTTTAATTCTCAGAACGTTCCTGGTTTCACTACATCTATAAAGTATAAAAGGATAAAGCTCTCGGCGTTGATCAAACCCTGAAAGGATGCTCCATGCATTTAACTTCATTAAGTATCGTTGGAAGTGACTGAATGCATATCTGGCCCATGCAATGTGACTCGCGGTGGCGTGGCTTACCAGTATATCGAGTCAGTGCTGTTATCCTTCCAGACAAGTCTGGTAGCAAGTTGCTGACCCCGGAGGGATGGAAGTCTTGTTGGACCTAGGACGCAGGGATAGAACCCATGTGTATTGCAGGGCGCCTCCGACCACTGCGCTACACCCGTCCTTCGATTAGCCCTGTAAGACTGATTAATAAAGGATTTAAAATGTATTTGTGTAGAAAATAGATTTCAATAAATATCTAAATGAAAAACTCAGCTTACAGGGCCACTCTTTTTGAAAATGAAAAATGAACAATATCAATCATCTAATAGCGTGCCCGACACAGGACCAAGCCAGCTGACTGTTCAAAAGTCGTTTTATTCGAATTTTTCTGCAGTATTTATGGGATTAACAATGGTTTCCTCCTCATTACATTCACTTTTCATCAACATTGTCGTCTTCATCGCCGTCATCAGTTATTTTCTTCATTGGACCGGTTTTCCTAACGCATTGAACGCATTATTACTCACTTCAATCGACGACGATTGCCTTCATTTTTTCGTCACAAAACAGGCAATTACAAGAAACCACCGTAATCCGAGCACTGTTTGTCGTGCGGTTCATAACGTCGTACGTAGGCACACAACACGAGCTCACACCAACAATGCCAATCAATATAATCATAAATATATATTAAATATTGAAATTAATCATCGTCTAAACGCCTTATTTGACATTTATAGAATATTTTTTCAATAATATTTACCACCATGGTCGACATAAGTTGTGGTCATAGTTGACATTAAGCTGAATGACATAGTATATGAGCGAATACCAAACAGAAAACAAAAACCTCAGCTCTCATTTTCCGCTACCAGCTATTTAATGTAAAGTTGCAAATAATGAATTAGATTGTGATGGTTTCTAGTCGGCTGAATGCTGTAAAATGAATGTGAACTACCGTGAGAACTCTGATTACATACAAGCAACAAAGACATCTGCCAAGAGGCCCCAAAAGTTAAAGATGTTTCTCTTTCCGATCACCTGGTGGTAAAATTTAGAGATTATCGAATTAATAAAAAGTAACGCAAAGCCTTTTCTTAGAGTAATTATTATGAACTGCTATAGAGATGGTTGACTTGTTATTCCGTTGAATGATCACAATTGGAAAGCAATGCAAGAGTGTAATCCGATGTGCTGCTTGTTAATGAAGCACCAGACGCTGTCACCGATACTGAGATTAGATAGGTTCCATGTGGATCTGCATCAATATAGTACGGGAAACGACTGAATGAAGTTGCTCAGTGATTCAAAGCGTTCATGAAGAAGCAATAGCCTCAGTGGCGAAGTGGGTACCACGCGAGCCCCGGAAAGGATAATCGCGAGTTCGAATCTGGCCAGGAGTCCAAATTTTGCAAGCATCTCAGAATCATAGAATCATATATTTCACATCATACCCTGCCGTGAAAATAATAATAGGCAGCAAATGAAACGTCAAATATTTTTCATGGCAACGTTCAAGAAGACCTTTGTTATCATTTTGGCGTATGAGAGGATGGTTCCAAAAGCCAGATGACAAAGGATACATCGCTCCATGTCGATCAATCCCTAAAGGAAGTGCCATGCATTTGACTCCATTCGCACCATTCGATAGGTGAATAAATGCGTGTTTGGCCTATATGACAGTTTCAGATGTTTTGCGAATGCATCAGGTCTGGGTTTTTGATCCCCACAGAAAAGTCTGGTAACAATTTTCCGACTCTGGAGTGATGTGGGCTTGGTTAGGTCGAAGCGAAGTATCAAACTAATAACACAATGCAAAAGCATCTCTAGTCATTACGATATAAAATCTCGAATGTTCGACAATATTCGATAATTGAACTTCTTTTTCGAGTCGAATAGGCTAGAGGTCATACTGTACGAGTACGAGTGGTGCTTAAAATAACGACTATTCAGCAAGTTTTGGATCACTGGGCTTCTTCACCAATCAAAATAAGTTTTTTCGGTTCGTGCATTCGCTTATACTGTTCAGTATACCACAACCGGAAACTGCGTGCATAACAAGTAGTGACGATGTCAATGACATGACATACATTATGCTTCTATCAAATGTTATGAATACGCTAATAAGGTACGACGATATTGCGTAGAATGTGGAATGATGTACTGCTGCTGCTTGCTCGCTCGCAACCACCTGCCCCGTTCACAGCCGGAACTGTAACTGACTAATTGTCTCATAAGAAACAGAATCGTATTAGTTCCACTAGCTAAAAGAAGATCTATTTTGTTCAGTAGGTGGAAGAACCGCATTAGATCTTCCTAGGCAAAAGAAAATGCATCGTATAAAACGTGCTTAAGGTTAAAATCACTAGTTATCGAAGACAAAGCCTTCATTCGTAACCCTCATTCAGGTTTCCCTGGATAGTTCAATAGCTCTTTCGATTCTTCAACAACTAGATAGGACTTTTTTGGCTTGAAGCCTTGAAAGTTTCAAAAGTAAAAACTAGAAGTGAACAAAAAGAAAGTGATGAGTAAACGGTATGACAGTGGGAAGCATTTTTTAATCTAGAATTCAAAGCGAAAATACTGGGCTGTTAGCGATACTGTAAGAAAATAAGAAAGGAATGACAAATGAAACGATATGAACCTTGATCGTGTGCCAGAATACGAAGTGGATTCGCAGCTGCCACTGCTGCTGCTGAATTTAGCTGTTGTCCGACCAGAAACGACAAATAGGCTTGCTGTAATTCCTATCGTGTTAATAGACAGTATTAACAATAAAATTTCCAATTATAAATGCTTTTTTGACAAGATTTTATGTTTTTTGTGCTTTGTTTCATAACGAATACACCTGACTATAGCAGGTTCCTTGGTGATCAGCTGCTTGTAATGACCCCTTCGCAGATAGAACATAATAACAAGAATCCTGATATTACGAATGTTAGATGATATTCATAGAAGTATAAGTTCAAGCTGATGAAATATTGAGATGAAGAGCTCACATGAACACCAACATCTCAATAAAGTATGATAACGAGGGTTGCATGACACTAATCGACGGATCGCATTTCATCACTGGATAACATTAGCCACCTAGATTCGTCCCTCTTAATTTAGAAAACATAGAACTCGTAGAAAAATCAGAATTCATTCGATTCACCTTTCTGGCTTTTCTCTATTACTCTAACGAAAAATAGTAGCATCTCTAAAGCGTCAGTTTCATTTCAGGTCCACTCAGTACTACGAATTTACAAAAAATCTATTTTTTCTCTTAGTAGAATAGGAAACGCACCTGTAGCTGAGCAGGTGAGATATCGACCGAATTATGCATGATCATCGGTGATGAGAGTTCGGTTACGGTAGATGGAGTGGAGAACGCGGTACTTGGAAAAAGAAAATGCGGAAAAACGGACGTTGTCGGAACGTCTGAAGTTGACGTAGAGCTGGAAATCGAAGAATTCACCTTATTATCACCATTTTTGGTTGTAAATGTTTTGTTTTCAGTTAATTCGATTCAATTTGCTTTCTTAATTCGAGCGCCTAGTTCGAGTGGGAAGTTAAGACAGTTTTGGTTCACAGCTATAATGCTTTTAGATGGACCAAAATTAATAAAATCTTTACTTGAACTATAATACAACTGAATTCTGATTTCAAAAACAAGGGAATAAAAACTAGATAAAGGCACAAGGGATGATCATAAATTTTGGTGGATTCAGTGAATCATCGGTCAGTTGTTATCCGATAAAATCGCTTGGCCTCGACAATGTATCGCACTACATCGTCATCAGCATTACTATCATTACTGTTATTATCACTATTATTATCATCTATTATCACTGTTGTTTTTACCATAAATGGTAGTCGTGCTATCGTTGCTGGTACAATACTCTTGACAATTTAGCAACAGTACTATCATTTTCTTGTTCGACTCATGCGTCAACCACATGCGACTATAATCAGCTGTTCTAAACTTCCTCATTGGAAGTCACGAAAAAGCGACTCTGAAGAAGGCGATACTGCCGAGACGTCAGCTAGCATTGTATTGTATTGTGTTTTTATGGAAGTAAATGTATGCTGTTTAAAAACCTCACGATTGCTGAACAAGAAAACGACACATTCATATTCCAATGCCGAGGTTAAGAGGAAGTCGATCCTGGGAACTAGTACTATCATTCCCAACGGTTTACCGCCTCATCGTGGCTGGGAGATGTTCCTGGCTGTTGGACTGTGATTTACAGCAGAAGGATTAGTCCCTCAGGCACGGTCTCCCAAGCTTAGAAGTCCGGAGTTTCCACCAGGAAACTGTTGCCTGGCTAAGAGTAAACCGATACTTGGATCCACCACCGTCTTGGTATCAAAGTCGCATGGTAGTAAATCTCCCTCTGATCCACAAGGGCTGCTACTGCCTGTCGTGCTGACTACCTGGGGCAAACTATGGCCAGGCTGCCCTCGGGATTCCAGGGAACCACAATGGCTTAACCAGCAAATCTCCGAAAAATGGTGATTATGTTGGAGCTCGCACAACTAGTGATGACGAGCCGTTCAAGTATCAAGTATCAAGTAATTATTAGGCTTTTGAAATCAATAGCCTTCCTTGTCATTATAGATAAGTATTTTTTACACCTAAACAAGAAAGTGCATATCGATGGATACCCGTGTTCTTCTTCAGTGGATCCACATCGCGGAGATCCGGTATCATCATCACTACCGGATGAACTACTGAAATAAGTCAAAATAAGGATTAAAGCGAGAATTTAAATAGGAAAAAACAAAAAAAAACGTGAGCTGAACTATGGATTGTTTCATTTTGTACTGTTCCCACTTTCTTTGAAAGCGAGTCACATCAGCTCTGTTTGTTATAGCGGGTAAACTACACAGCAGCTAGCGAATGACATTGCAATAAATTTGTTTTAATGATTAATTTTGCTATCAATCAACATCATATTGTCCGATTGTAATAATGGTATTCCGCACTTTATTCCTATTGTAAATACTCGTTTCACTGCAACACAAATAAAATACTATTCGCCCGCATATTCCGTTAATATAGCGATATACGACCATGGACAACTCGGCAACACTGCACTGGACCAAATACAATGTGCATTGGACGATTTGTGAAAATCGTAGAAAAATACTTTTTCTAGCGGTTTTTTACTCGGATTTTCTCCCTAAATATCCTTTCTTGCCTAGCGGTTTTTACTCGGGTTTTCTCTAAATATCCTCACTTGTCATCATTATCTAAATAGTTAGGCGGGACGCAATCAAATGAACAACTTGTTTGCTGCTTAATGCAAACAATGGAACAAAATAATGTAAAGAAGTTACAGGGATTAGAGTTAAGGAAAGTTTTTGTAGAGTTTTTCCCGCTCGGAATCATATTTGTTAACTCACGTCGCCACGGGACTGTTTTGTTTCTTTTCGAGGATATTCGAGATAGTGTAGGCACTTCTTTTCTCCGTTTGATCATCGGAATTCTTTCGTGGTTTGAAGGTGGTTTGTGATGTGAAATTCTGCAACTGCGGACATTTTTTGAACAGTCGATGAAAAAAGTCGTTGCGATGGATTTCATTGTGAATAATGAAATTTTGTAATTATTTCAGCATCATTCAGCTTTTTTTGATCGTATATTCATAGTTATTATTTTCGGCTTTTGAGAAAAAAGCGCGTACAAAATTCCGTTTCAATTTTCGTTTAGCAAAAATCACTGAAACTAAGCAATCCGGTGTTGATTTGTCGGGGTCCTTCTTGTAAAACTATGATACTTTCTTTTATTTTGAATTAATTAGCTTTTAAAATTTACTTTAAATTTTTGGCTACCCTAGTCTATACATTCATTATTATTACAAGCCTTACTTTAAAAAATCTAGCGATACGCGACTAATCCTTGGGTAATCTCTAGCTGCACGGTCATCACTGAGATCCGCCGTGTGAAAGGAAAACACCGAAGGAATGAAAAAAACAATAGAGAGAGAGAGAGAAAGACTTACCGTAACTGTGTCTGGGGATGATGATAATGTGGTGTTAGTGTTGGTGAACTGTGATCTTTCCGGTGACGTTAAGTGACTTCCGTTCAGGAAGACGTTCATGCCAAAATTGAACGCACATCAGTGAACATTCTAATAATAATTTACGAGAAACCAAGAACAAAACCACTACTAATAACAGTAGTAATAGTAACTACAGACGAGCAATAGATGAAAATGACTTCTTTTAAGATGCAACTAGCAAAGTGACTGAGTTCAAGTCAACTAAAGCGAACGAGAACAGCAATAGCAACGACGGTGAGCGAGTTTGAGCTACGAGAACCAGAAACGATTTCGATACGGACGATATTAGTTTCGTTGGAGACTTCAATAGAATGCAATAATGTGATGGAACACGATCTCCACTCACCACAAACACACACACACACACACCACACACACACACGCACACACACACACATACATACACACACACGCACACGTCTCTCTGCCCTCCCATCCGACACTCTTCGTTTCCTATCTGATATCCCATAGCCATTCAATAAACATTGTATTCCATAAATCTGACCACCGTCAGCTAGCATATCGTTTTATGTTCGATGTGGTCGATGTATTCTAGAGGGCATTTCTGTCCACACATTATTGCCAGTGTGAAAGTGATAAGTCGTACTGAGGTGATTTTCATGCGCTAGCTTTTTCTGTCTTAACAGGAAACAGCATTCAAAAACATAGACTAGTAGAAGCGTCTCACTGTGAATGCCTACAGAGGTATTTTGTTTTAAAATCTCTTTAGTGTGAAAAAAAAAGTTTTACAAAAAGAGATTATTGTAAAGCTAACCGAAGGGTTGTTTTAGCTTCCAAAAACCTTATAGAAATCGTAAAATAGAGAAAACCCACAGCCTTCAGAAAAAAATGTTTAAACCAAATCTGAAGTTTTTAAACGATGCTGGTGGATCTTAAAAATTAGCCGAAGAATTTTTTAATCAAAACTTCGGTGATAAAGGTTTTCCGTGTAATGTTTTTCTCATCACTAAAACCAAAAAGTGGCTAAGAACATAGATGTCCAGAACCTGAAATATAACTAGATTTTATTAATCTATCAGGTTCTTTTACATGAAGGGATCATTCAGTGAGGAGAATCCAGAGAAGAAAATGGATTTTACAATCGAAATATATATGATTGGCTATAGAGGAAACTCATCATTTTTTTCGAATCATGAATGTATTAAATCAAAAAGCAGAAAAAACATTAATAGTGCTCATCAAAGATAACGTTATTTCACACGAATTGTCTTTCACAACATCTACTGTGCGGATCCCCTTGTTCACCATTCACGACGGTCCTACAACTTTCGCACGTGTGGCTTGGGCAGCTGTTTGAGGATTTTCTTTTTGTGCTAAACGTCGTTAAATGACGGTCGAGTCGATTTCTCCTGGAGGTGTGATATTGGTGGACTATAACGTAGCTACTTGTTTCGTCGTGAGTAAACTTTTTTTCAGATAATTCTGGTATCAATTTCCCAACATCGGAGAGATCAGAGGTTTGATGACCCTGATTCGGGATCGAGCAAGCACTGTGCTAGTGATGACCAACATCACTACCATTGCGCTGCCCGTTGCTTATAGAGGGAATAGGAAATAAAACAGTACTTTGTACGAAGAGCAAAAACCGTAGAGATATTTCTTCTACTGCTGATTAAATCGTGAATTAATAAAATGCTTATAGTGCTGTGATGCCCTCATGCTCGCATGGCAGAACGGACTTTTTTTCGCTTTTGTACTTGGCAAAGTGCAATGTCGGTTACTGTGTGAAATTGTTTCATAGCAAGAAGGAAGATGAGGAAATGAAATGTCAGCAAATCGTTGAGTTTCCCTTCATTTTCCTTAGTGTCTTATGAAGGAAGTAACATGACAAGTGCTGAGTTCATTGTCATCACTAAGAAATCACCTGATCTGACGACTACATCGCTAATTCGGCCGATGGTTTCGTTTTTAATTAAATTTCTTAAATAAGGGCATTTGTAGAAAAGTGCTGAAGAGGGGAAGAAGAAAAAGAAATGGACTTCAAGCTGAAATTCACGCAACATTTTACGTGGTAACCCTAATAGGTTTGATTGCGTTTTTTAATTTCAGGAGACTATCCAGACTCTTTTAAAGCTTTTAAAATTAGAAATAAATAAATACATATTGGTTACGATCACTTAGAAATTCCTAGAAAAGAAGAGCAGCAGAGAGAAGGAGCGACGCAGAAGGAGCAGAAGGAGCAGTATAGTTGAAATAAACGAAAAATTTAAAGCTGAGAAAAGAACATGAGAGTTGGGCTATAATGAGCAGCAATAATAATGATAATGATAATAATAATGGTCGTAATAATAGTAATAATGATAATAACACAAGTGATTACTATAACTGATAATAATAATGGCAATTTAAATGGTAATAATAATAATATTAATAATAATAAGAATTAATGAAAAATGATACAATTACCCGTAATAATAATGATACTAGTAAAAATAATAACGACAATAAGTGAAGACAGGTGAGAGATAGAACGTTCGAGCTTGGTTAACGTAATCACCGGTTATGATACCAGTCATTAATGGCCTGGTGATTACATGCACAGAGCAGTTAATTAGGGCTATATGATTATATCTATGAAATGGAATATTATCCTTGAATATGGACGATGATAAATCCGCAATCCCTGGATTTCCTTGACTAGGAGGCCTGCAACAATTCGTACACATGCACTATCAGCCAAAGGTTCGAGTTCTGTTCTACCGTTACCGTAATGCAGCGTGGCAGTTAAAATTAGCAGCAACCAAATCAAAGTACTTTAAAAATACTGGGTCTAGAAGATAGAAGAGCTGATCAGCAATGCTACTGAACTAGTATAGGGCTAACGCTGCAGAACTGCTACAGAAGTATTGCAACGGAACTGCTATAGAACTATTTGAAAAAAAATCTGTTGCTGAAAATTGAAGTTGAAAATTGAAAATTATTTGACTTGAAAGGAATTGCGGTTCTATGTTTTACTTGACACCTAATTTTTCATGGCAGGGTATGGTGTGAAATGGAATCAAAAGGGTGCAGAGATATGAGCAAAACTCGGAATCTCGGGTGCTTCGAACACGCGGTTACCTTTATTGGGACTCATGTGCTTTCTACAACACCAACCGAAGACCTTGCTTTTCCTTTCCCTTAGCCAATTTTTTACTCTAATAGGTTATCAGCAATCATGTGTCAACGGGAATGAACCGGGGAGCACGAATCGGCTTTGAGTACAGTAAGTTGAAGTACGGTTACATTTTGAAGCACGCATACACTAATGTATTACGAAGTAGGATTAGGTCTAATTATATTGTAGTCAAGTCACAAGAAAACAAGAAAAAATAAGAGAAGTAGTGTTTTGGAGTCAGTTTATAGTCAGTTTGTCTAATGACTGCAAAGAATCCGTTGATGTACTCTTCCTTACTGACCCTTTTCGTCACATTTTCAACATTGCTCATCTATACACAAACTCTCCAAATAAACTGCTATCTTTCAAAAAAACCTTTACTTCAACAATCATGTGTAAGAACTTTTAAACACCTAAAAGAGTGGCCTTCAGATGGCATTTTGGAGCACATGTAAGTAAAAATAACCATATAGTAGGGCGCTTCCGACCACTGCCCCACACCCGTGAAGTGATAATGAATGAACCATATAGTGAAGAAATTTTACGTTAAAGTGGAAACTAGGAAGAAAACTTATCTAATGATACCAAACTATTTGGATTTGAACAGTCATGAGAGGGGGAATGAGGCTTCAACTTGCTATAGTAAAGTATGTTATCATCACGTCCGATGAAGCCACATAATAGAGCTTATAACAAAATGATAGAGTACAGATATCTATATATCACTGGCTTCTTCTTCAATATGTCATTCTTGATGAGGGCTGTATAGCCAGTCCCTTTATGAAATAGCGAATAATAATGATAATACCATTCAAGAAGGTATTGTGTGGAATAATATCGTTGATGATTAAGAGAATTTGTACTTTCTTTTGATTAAAGAGCTTTGCAAAGACGTTAATCTATCACTAATAAAGCTTATTTATTTGGATATTCAGATTGTGAATTCCATCATGATTATCGTTTGGAAACGATAAGAGGAAAACACTTCGTCAGCGATTCTAAGCAAAGCGTCTATCCCAAGCGGAAAAAAAAGCTCTGTCTGCGTCGCTGGTAAATGTCGAACTAGAGGTTAAGATGGTGGTGGACAGTCGTTGGCTGAACAATTTTGGTAATGAATAGTTCGATAACTACAATGAAACGATGGAGTTAACCAGTTCTCACAACGTCAACCTCTACACATTTAGGTTTTGTGAGAGTATAGGTTCTTGAGGAAGTCTAGAAACACGGTATAACGCTCACAGAACTCAATCTCATAGTAATAGTCATCGTTGGATTCGTTACCACTCCGTAAGCCGTTGTAAGATTGTTGTGGCATTCATAACTTGCTTCTTCATACCTATTACATAAAGAAAACCGCCGCTGCGCATCGTACTATGAGTCAGGAAATAGATTAATAACACACCAAACGGATTACTGTAAGTATCGATTACATCGATGGATGGTGGTGAATACAGCCGGGCCGGGCCAGAACGGCCGCTTAACCGCGATCGCCTTGTCGTCGTACCTACTACACTACTCGGCAGCCAATGAACAGAAGTCGTAACAACTCAGAATGTTTAAAAGTTAGCCAAGAACATTTTAATCATAAGATATTTTAAGTTGCATTGTTCATCTACAAACGGAAAGAATGCCTTTTAAGCAACAACAGAACTGATAGACACAGCTTCTTCATTAGTAAGGAAGTTCGGCTAATATTTCTTTCCAATGAATCTGACCAGAATCTGGTGTATTGAATGTCACCATATGAAGTCCAAATTCCTAAGTGCACGTTAATTAGAGAAGATTTAGTTGAAATAGTTGACGTATCATAGAAATCTCGACTAGGTCGACATCATGCTCGGAAATTTTGTGCTCAGTGAGCGATTAACAAACTGACGACGTCTCTAACATCTCTGTAGATGACTGTCTGTTAAGTATCTAT